CTCAATCCAATAGAACATCTTTGGAGGGAGCTTAAACTCTGCGTTGCTCAGCGACAGCCCCGAAACCTGACAGATCTAGAGGAGATCTGTGTGGAGGAGTGGGCCAAAATCCCTGTTGCAGTGTGTGCAAACCTGGTCAAGAACTACAGGAAACGTTTGACCTCTGTAATTGCAAACAAAGGTTTCTGTACCAAATATTAACACTGATTTTCTCAGGTGTTCAAATACTTATGTTCAGCAGTGCAAGACAAATAAATTCTTTAAAAATCATACAATGTGATTTCCTGAATTTTTTTTTTAAATTCCTGTCTCTCAGAGTGGGAATGCACCTACAATGTGAATTTCAGACCCCTCCATGACTTAAGTGGAAGAACTTGCAAAATCGCAGTGTGTTCAAATACTTGTTTCTCACTGTACATTATATACACACAGTAGAGACAGCCCACAATATAAGGGCAACCAGGATTCGACATCAACCATGGCCCAATGGCCCATGCCCAGAAAAGGTTGTGTGGCCATCATATATCCCCCAGCAGGTGGCCCACAATGGCCACCAAGCTTCATCAGATCTCTACTACTGAGAATGAGACCGTCTCAGACCCCCTGCACTTCACCAACGGAATATTAGCATTCCACAAACATCCTGTTTTTTTCACACCTTTTAGTTCAACATTCTACAAAAACAGTTAATAAAGTTGTCACTGGCTAGCTGCCATTATGTCAGTGCTGCTGAAGTACAGGTTTACTAAGCCTAATCAAACTGGTACCACGATGGCTACATAAGAACCAGAAATGCATAAGAACTGTAAAAAAAAAAGAAAGAAATTTAGGAGTAAATGGAAGCAGGAGTTCAAACACACAGGCATTCAACAATTATTTATTAAATATGGTAATATTTTAATCACTCTGCACAAAGAATAGAAACAAGGCTGCTTTGCATCAACATCTGTGCGTTTGCTCCATTTGACCATAGCTGTCCTCCTCCTCCCACAGATTCAGCATCAGTTTAAGAATTAGCATCAACTTTATTCCCTTGCAGAGCAGTCAATATTGTCAAACAGCTACATTGTGCTAACCTCAGCGAGCAGCTTTGTTCCGTCGTTATCTTAGCTAGCCTTACAGGCTTAGGTCTCTGCAATCGACTGCGTTGTGTTAAAAACTGACACGGAGAGAAGGAGCTGTGTGAGAGAGCAGGGCAGGGACAGGCTGAGCCAATCAATGCACTGCATGCAGCTCCACAATGAAATGATATTTTGTCCATTTTAAATAGTAAAAACAAGAAAAAAGGAAAAACACGTGGCGTCAATATTCTTGTCCCGGGCCCTCCTGCTTTTCTGCAGGAGCAGGAGCAGCAGCTTGTGGAAGGTATCACGAAAGGTTTCACTCAAGGTAATGCTACCAAATACTGAGTTTATGTAAACTTCTGACCCACTGGGAATGTGATGAAAGAAATGGTTAATGGTTGCAGCAGTTAGCGCTGTCACTTCACAGCCAGGTTTGTTTGGCCTTGGACAATTTTCTGTGAGGAGTTTACATGATCTCCCTGTGCCTGTATGGATTCTCTCCGGGTACTCCGGCTTCCTCCCACAATCCAAAGACAGGCAGCTTAGGTTGACTGGTGACTCTAAATTGCTCATAGGAGTGAGTGTGGTTGTGTATGGTCATCTGTCTCTAAACGTCAGGCCTGGGATAGACTGGCAACCTGTCCTTTCACCCAATGTCAGCTAGGATTGGCTCCAGCACCCCTGTGACCCTCCTTAGGATAGGATAAGTGGTATAAGTAATGAATGGATGTCAATTTCTGACTTCAACTGTACAGTCAGGTCCATAAATATTGGGACGTCGACACAATTCTAACATTTTTGGCTCTATACACCACCACAATGGATTTGAAATGAAACAAACAAGATGTGCTTTAACTGCAGACTATCAGCTTTAATTTGAGGGTATTTACATCCAAATCAGGTGAACGGTGTAGGAATTACAACAGTTTGCATATGTGCCTCCCACTTGTTAAGGGACCAAAAGTAATGGGACAATTGGCTTCTCAGCTGTTCCATGGCCAGGTGTGTGTTATTCCCTCATCCCAATTACAATGAGCAGATAAAAGGTCCAGAGTTCATTTCAAGTGTGCTATTTGCATTTGGAATCTGTTGCTGTCAACTCTCAAGATGAGATCCAAAGAGCTGTCACTATCAGTGAAGCAAGCCATCATTAGGCTGAAAAAACAAAACAAACCCATCAGGGAGATAGCAAAAACATTAGACGTGGCCAAAACAACTGTTTGGAACATTCTTAAAAAGAAGGAACGCACCGGTGAGCTCAGCAACACCAAAAGACCTGGAAGACCACGGAAAACAACTGTGGTGGATGACCGAAGAATTCTTTCCTTGGTGAAGAAGACACCCTTCACAACAGTTGGCCAGATCAAGAACACTCTCCAGGAGGTAGGTGTATGTGTGTCAAAGTCAACAATCAAGAGAAGACTTCACCAGAGTGAATACAGAGGGTTCACCGCAAGATGTAAACCATTGGTGAGCCCCAAAAACAGGAAGGCCAGATTAGAGTTTGTCAAATGACATCTAAAAAAGCCTTCACAGCTCTGGAACAATATCCTATGGACAGATGAGACCAAGATCAACTTGTACCAGAGTGATGGGAAGAGAAGAGTATGGAGAAGGAAAGGAACTGCTCATGATCCTAAGCATACCACGTCATCAGTGAAGCATGGTGGTGGTAGTGTCATGGCGTGGGCATGTATGGCTGCCAATGGAACTGGTTCTCTTGTATTTATTGATGATGTGACTGCTGACAAAAGCAGCAGGATGAATTCTGAAGTGTTTCGGGCAATATTATCTGCTCATATTCAGCCAAATGCTTCAGAACTCATTGGACGGCGCTTCACAGTGCAGATGGACAATGACCCAAAGCATACTGCAAAAGCAACCAAAGAGTTTTTTAAGGGAAAGAAGTGGAATGTTATGCAATGGCCAAGTCAATCATCTGACCTGAATCCGATTGAGCATGCATTTCACTTGCTGAAGACAAAACTGAAGGGAAAATGCCCCAAGAACAAGCAGGAACTGAAGACAGTTGCAGTAGAGGCCTGGCAGAGCATCACCAGGGATGAAACCCAGCGTCTGGTGATGTCTATGCGTTCCAGACTTCAGGCTGTAATTGACTGCAAAGGATTTGCAACCAAGTATTAAAAAGTGAAAGTTTGATTTATGATTATTATTCTGTCCCATTACTTTTGGTCCCTTAACAAGTGGGAGGCACATATGCAAACTGTTGTAATTCCTACACCGTTCACCTGATTTGGATGTAAATACCCTCAAATTAAAGCTGATAGTCTGCAGTTAAAGCACATCTTTGTTTCATTTCAAATCCATGGTGGTGGTGTCTAGAGCCAAAAATGTTAGAATTGTGTCGATGTCCCAATATTTATGGACCTGACTGTATGTTTAAACTGAAATTTCAAGTTGATTTGTAAACAAAGTCACATTTTCAACTGTTAATGTCTTTTCACTTACTGAAGTGTCACAGTTCAGGAATGCTTTTTCTTGAAGTAGTTCCGCACAGAGCGTTTTGATGGCTATAGTCTCTGCATGTTTCTGCCGTTTGTATTTGGTGCTGTAGTAAAATGTTATATTGACCTTGTTATCGTGTTATTTCTGGGCGCCATGAAAGCTAAGGAAAACAGTGGCTCTTTGTTTTTAAAGGGAAAAAAAAGTCACAGGAAATATTTGATTTTATTAAATCTAATTACAATTGGAATATTCAAAAACCACTGCCCATCAGTGGCACCCCCCAGGAGGCAGTACTAAATCAAGTTCCAACACTGAAGTCAGCACCATCACATCACAAGTGTTAGCATAACAAGCTCATACTGGTTTAGAGGTAAAACATGGACTTCAGCAACCACAGGAAACACAGCAAAGATGTCACAAAAGTCAGTTTTGCTTGTTCGACAGCTATTTGATCAACTGTGCAGACAGTCTTAATTACTGGCATATTTTGTTTTGTTGCACTCACAAAAATATTGTGATCTTTGACTTGACACACTGCTCAGCCCCGGCCTCTTGTCAACAGTAAATGACAGGAAAAATTACAGTAAGACAGCAAAGAGGAATAGACCAAATCGGCCCTTCCAGTTCGGCCATGTTACAGGTATGGGAAGCTCCAGGTCACAGCTTCATCATTTCATTTAGCAGAAAGCAGATAAAAGACTGAAACAAAGTGGAAGACTTTGTTCTTATAGAATCAAAATTTTGCTTGCTACAACCCATGTTTAGTACAACCACCGATTGTATACAGTAAATATGAAAGACCCACCACCACTTCCCTCTGTTATGCTAAAGTGAAGGCAAAATACTGTGAATATGTTGACTGCCATCTTGGCTTTTTGCAAACAGCTTCTGCACAGTAGTGACTAGAAGTAGATTGACAGTATAAGACCACCAAATGGGCAGCAGTGGCTTAGGGGAGGTATTAGTGTTATAGTACTCGAGATCGGTCTTGAGACCACTTTTTGAAGGTCCTGGACTCAACCATATTTTTACTCTGTCTTGTCTCAATCTCAGACAAAGCAGACTCACGATTTTATTTTGAGACCAGTCAAAACAACAGCTGTGAGCAAAGTGGATGTGCATTGTTTTGTTACCATTACTATGGTTTTACCTATCATATCAACACTTGGGTGCAGCGACTGCCTTAAGCTGAATGAATGTAAAAATAAGAGTTCTACGATGAGAAAAATAAATGAGGTGGCTTGATCTCAAACAGAAAAGCCTTGCAATCAATGATCAGTGTCTGAACAAACATTTGTCTGCTTGATCATCAAATAAATATAATAAACAGGCTGTTACTGTGTACCCAAGTTCCAGAGTCCGTACCATTTGTCTAAATCCTACATTTTGACCACCACCATACAGGCAAACAAAGTAAAACTATAGCATCAGTTCTTGACTTTGACTGGATGGAGTTATCAGTTAATGTGCTCGGAAGTAGCTGCTAACACTAGCACTTGTCTCAATTTGACTGCTGCTACAGCAATTATACTGTGACATTTTTCCTCATTCAACACTGTCTCCTTCGTAAGCAAGATTCATGGTACTCCAAGTATACGCAAGAGTTGGAAATACAAGAAACTGACTGAAAAACGGCAGTATTGTGTCGAAGTGTGTTACCCTGCAGAGATGTTTTCCCCTTGTTGAAACGGTTTCAATTAGTACCCACATTAGTGGTCAAAGCTAGGATAAAATTAGATTCATATTACGTTACTAAGGGGAAACACAGCTTGATGAGAAAAAAAAACTGACAACACTGGCAAAATGCTTGCAACCCTTTGTCTAGGGCCAGGAGGAGTGGAATGGCCTAATGCACCACTGGGCAATGACCACTTATGTAGCTAACTGCTACCCTGTTGTGCAACTGCACTGAGCTGCAGTGACTTCTCTGCCCTGTTTCGCAACGATCATCCAATGTCTTTAGTGGCGTGTCACCAGACCTTTGAGTGGTTAACATACGTTAAGTAAACAACCATGCGAGGCACTGTGCATTGAATGTTTGTTGCTAGGTTAATCCATTTGACCACAGACATACATTATGTTATGCCTATGCACAAGACGGTATGCCTCAATAACAGGAAAGTCTTTCAATTCTGTTGGGGAGGGGACAAAAAAAAAAAAAAAAAAAAAAAAAAAAAAAAAAAACCCACACCGCTTCATAACATAAGGATCATGTCCCCGATATGTTGTGATTTTTTGTTTACATCTTGTTCCTCATAATATAGCTTAAACACAAACTTTATTCCATCTTTTCATTCTGTTTTTCACTTCCTGCCCTCATCTGTGTGTCACAAAAGTCATGTGTTTGCAAACCACCTACTGGATGCCTGCAAGAGACTGTGTGTTACACATGAGCGCACATGCACACACGCACGTGTGAGAGGAGCGCAACATAGAAAAAAAGAGGAAAAAAAGTTTGATACCCATAACCAAATTTCTTAAATAAAATTTTGTTCCAGTGTGTGATTTTGAACCCAAGCAGCCATATTCTCTGACTCTGGTATACATTTATTTTACAAACCTTGCAACAAGACAAAGTAAAAGACAGGTTACTCACATTTCCAACATAAATAGATCTGCCATCTGCTTCCATCTTCTCCTCGATAGACATGATAACAGGTCCGACTGCACAGAGGGCAGAGAGAAAGATAAACATTTAATTTAGGGGTGCACAATTCTGAGGAAGATATAAATCATCCCCGCCCAACTCGGAAACAAGATCAGTTTACTTTTATGATTCTTATGCACTATATTTCTCTGCATTATAAATTTTTGGATTAAATTGTTATGAGGACAGAACAAAATATGATCATTGTTGCACTGTTTGTTGCTTGTTAATACCATTTATTTTTTATATTACACAGCCTTATGTTGGTTTACTCTTTACTTGCCCCTTGCATGGGGATATGTACATACACATTGAGAGCCGATGTACCAGAGTCAAATTCCTCATGCGTCCGACACACCAGGACAAAGCAGATTGTGATCATTACTGAAATGGGACTTAAAACATAAATCTCTTTCTACTCATAATCATAACACAGTTGAACAAATGTTTTTCTGTGCATTGGTGTTACATTTCCAGCTGGATGTCAGGTTAAGTGAAGTTGCCAGTTTTTTTTGTTTTTTTTTTTTGTTTGTTTGTTTTTTATGTTAGCTGAACAGGGGCTATTTAGGGTTACACAAATCGTTAAATTGCAAATTGTGGATGAAATTGTGTAGTGTTTTAGACTATTTTCAGGGCAAGAAAGCTGCTGGGCTAGTACAATCAGGCTGCAGAATGGACGCTGCTCCACTCATCTGTGGTTACATTAACTTCGGTGCAAGATTGCAGGCGAGTCCTCAGATGTGTTGTAGGCATCCGCTTTTTTTGCAGAGTTGGCAAAGTTATTGCAACCAACTTACAAGCATCAATCCAGAAATGTATTTTAATGTGCATTTTAAAATTTATTCTGTTAGTTTGAGGTCACTGTTTGAATGTTACTGAGTAATTAATTTTGGGCAAGACACTTCATGGCAAAAATGAACAAAAGTATCAATCAGCTTGAAAAAAAGATGTCATGAGTTTACAGAAGCTTCTGATAGGCTAATTTATATCATTTAAGGAGGTGCACCTGTGGATGTACTTTA